GTGAGTGCGGAGGTGTGTGGTCATCACGCTTTATCGGACATTACTGCTGGAGTAACGATTCCTCTGAAGCATGTCCGTGTTCGATGTGAATGCGGAGGTGTGTGGTCATCACGCTTTATCGGACATTACTGCTGGAGTAACGATTCCTCTGAAGCATGTCCGTGTTCGATGTGAGTATGGAGGTGTGTGGTCATCACGCTTTATCGAACATTACTGCCGGAGTAAGGAACCCTGGAAGCGTCAGTGCAGACGATGCCAGTAGGTCAGACCCAGCACAATAACCCCCAGTTTACTCTGGAGTGCATGGTATCAGTTAGAATTGTTTCCCATAACTCTTCCTGCTCCTCTGTCGCATTGCTGACTTTCTGCTGGTGGTTCTGGTGGTCTTTGGGTCTGGTTCAGCGTAGCGTAGCTATAGGAGATGTATAGCACAATTTGATATATTTTAAATTCTGTTTAAATCCTTTCCCAGTCTCACGCCCAGACTCTGGCCCAGGGCTCACAGGGGGGGCGGCTTGTTTCTCATTCCTGTGTTTACCTGCAGGATTCCCACACCAGCCTGGCACAGGCCCTCGAGGAGCTGTCTCTGCTGCGTACCCGCTGCGTGGACAGCGCCGCCCTGGTGGACAGGGCCCAGGAAGAGCTGCTAAGTTCTCGTCGCCGCTGCGAGCTGGAGCAGGAGCGCTCGGCTGCTGCTGTGAAGGAGCTCCATGAGCTGACTCTCCTTCACCAGCAGGATCTGCAGGTATCTCACAGGACTGAGGGTTCTGGGTGTGGCTGACATCAGAGGCATTGCAGATGGTGTTGCCACGGTGATTGTGATGTAGCTGGTTGGTAGGAGGTCTGTAATGAAGTCAGCGTGTCTTTGAGTGCAGCATAGGCGGAAATATTGCCCCCTCCTTACTCTGAAGCACTCACTCCCAGCTGCGGGGAGCAGCTCTGTCTCGCCTGCGGTGCAGCTGTGAAAACGGGAGGCAACCAAAATATCCTCCCCCCCCCCAGTCACCCCACCTTCACCTTGCAGACAGGTGACATTCTGCCGATCTTTTTAAAAGACGGCTTTTGGCCCCAGGTGACACTGAGAAAATGAGGTTTGATGTGAATGCGATGAATTAATGTGGCTTCCTGCCGGGTAAAACACAGGAAACAGCTGAGACATGATGGAGGCTTGCCAGACATCGCCTGTAAAAGGGGACTGATGTAAGGTAGACAACGTTCAGCATAAACCAAAGGGGACCTCTCTGGGTTTATTACAGATGGCATTTTGCTGTTAAGGCGGGGAGTGTTCAGCATAAACCGAACTGGACCTGTCTGGGGTTTTTATGGATAGTGTTTTGGTGTTAAGGTGGGGAGCGTTCAGCATAAACTGAAGGGAACTTGCTCGGGTTTTTTTATATGTAGCATTTTGATGTTAAGGTGGGGAGCGTTCAGCATAAACCGAAGGGGACATGTCTGGGCTTTACACATACAGCATTTTGGTGTTAAGGCAGGCTTTATTCAGGATAAACGGAAGGGGATCTCTCTGTGGTTTACACATGTAGCATTTTGGTGTTAAGGCAGGCTTCATTCAGCATAAACTGAAGGGGACCTGTCTAGGCTTTACACATGTAGCATTTTGGTGTTAAGGCAGGCTTCATTCAGCATAAACTGAAGGGGACCTGTCTAGGCTTTACACATGTAGCATTTTGGTGTTAAGGCAGGCT